TATTTTTAAAATTATGTTAACTTACCAAGATTATATTATAAATAAACTCGCTTTCTCTCTCTCTCTCTCTCTCTCTCTCTCTCTCTCTCTCTCAAATATTATTAATAAAAATCATATTGCTACAGCATAATTAATAATTACCTGTATGAATATTTTGATCCGTAAATAAATGTACAGTAATTCTGTCCACCGGTTTGTCTTTTAACACTTGACTCAATACAGCGATTGTTTTTTGTTGGAAATCTTGTGGCACCCGATGGGCCGGTAATGTGGTGTAGAACTGCATGAACGGCATTGTTGTTTGCGAATTATGAAAATGGTGATTTAGTCTAATAACATCAATGTAAAAATGAGAGTTAGTTTAAGTGTTACAAGTGATTATATTTTGTCGCTAACTGTTTATATAACTTTTTATCAGCCCAACACAATAACCTTCACATTTGGTTTATCATAATCAATTTTATACAATCAAATTACTTTATTATGTAGATTTTATAATATTTTAAATATAATCTTGGTAAGTTAACATAATTTTAAAAATAATAAAACATTTAGTTATAAAACAATTTAATCAGTTGCCATAACTAATTGTACATTAAATCCGTATATTTAGAAATACTATAATGTAACTTGGTTGCTTTGTAATTTATATATAATCTCATTAAACTGATAAATATAATATTAATTTAATGGCGTTGGTACATTTATAGTAGGTCCAAGTTATTTACGCAATAATTATCATATACAAACATATCATTTAATAGATTGGTAGTTTATAAAATAATTTTACTAAATAATTGTTTTAAAAACATAAACATACAGTAGTTTTCCACATTGTGTAATTAATGCAATTTCTAAGTTTATACAATCTTATTTATAAATGTTTAACTTACATAATATAAAATAATAATTAATAATTGAGATTACAGACACAAAAAAGTTTGTTATTAGTTAACTAAATCATTTAGTCAATAAAAAAATTTGATTTAAGAACTCAAATGAAAATCAATTAAATTTTATTAAAATAATTTTTTATTTTGATAATTTATCCAACATCTTACCTGTTTTACATTTAATTAATTAATTACTTCAATGATTTATATTATACTGGGATTTATATAATTATAAATAAGCTGTTTAAAAAATAATCATTTCAACAAAACTAGTAAACTTAAAATACTTTACTTTGTAAATATAAAATTTTAAAATAATTAAAATATTACATTTACAAAACTATTCTTAAATTTATATTTATTAAAAATATCTCATTTATATAAAATATACATTGTAATTGATCAACAATTATTTTAATAATGAAGTACTACAACTATGAAGTAAATATATTTATTAAATATTAAATATTATTTAATCAATCTCAATAAAGTTTACTTCCCATGTTTACCATGTTCCATGTTTCAACAAGCCGGCCAATACTTTTCCATGTTTACCAATAAGGTTAGGGTCGGCATCAATAATAAACACAATAAACTGTTTCTCGTCGATACCCAACGTCTGTTTGACGTGTGCCGTCAACTCGGCTATTGTGCGCTTGATATCATCGGGACTGCCGGTACCCACTGAACGGATCACTGCATACCCGTTAGGTAATTGACGTTCCGGATCAGTGCCTACAACATACCATCATGGTTATTTATACGGTTTATTATTGGTATTATATAAATTATAAATACCTTGATAAATGTTTTGTTCGGTAATTACGTGAATGTTGATTATCTCCGCCGGTTTGCCCAACAATTGACTTAACAATACAGCAGTTTTTTGGGAAAAGTCTTGCGGCACCCGATGGGCCGGTAGTGTTGTGTAGAGATGTAGAAATGGCATGGTGATATATTTATGTTTATAATAATTATATATTATTTATATAAATGTAAAATTATAAACTATAATTATTTCTTGAATTAGTTTAATGTTTTTATCCCCATTTTATATGTTTTACAAAATTGTATTTAATTTAACTCATGAAGGTCGTTTTTTTAGTCCAGAATTCTTTTCTAGATTGTACAATATTTTGTCAATTTTTATTACAGCACTTAATGCGAACTCATAATCGCACTACTTTAGTGCAATTTATCTCAATCTTTTATTTGTATATAATATAGTGGTATTGATAATTTTATAAGTTAAATTATTGCAATAAGAAAAATGGTAAACATTTTACGCAGAACTTTTTTTAAACTTACTTTTATAAAAACAGATTAATCTAATCAATTATTGAACTTTTGGGTGTTTTTATAGGGGTTTAGTTGGTCATGCATTTACATTTTTACATAAATCTAATATAAGTTTAAAATCGCTTTAAGTGCCTTATATTCTATTATAACATTTATTTTGCATAATTGCTATATTATTAAATGTATCATTTAATCAATATTTATTGTAGTTACATATCTCAATTACAATTACAGAAACACAATTATATTCGATAACTGTAACATGGTTAAGATCAATTTAATAGTAAAGTACAGTAATTTATCAATATAAAAACATATAATTAATCTACTTGAGCAGGTCGGCCAACAATTTGCCCTTTAGTCCGCACAAATTGGGATCGACATCATTAATACACACAAAAAACTGTCTCTCGTCGATACCCAACTCCTGTTTGACGTGTGCGTACAACGCGGTAATAATACGCCGGTTATCATCGGGACTGCCGGTAGCCATCGCGTACAGCACAGCGTAACCGCTATGCTTACTGCGATCCGGGTTATTGCCTGTAACAATGATCACGTTCAAAATGAAATTAACAACTAATTAATTAGAGACAGTATTCTTACCGGTATAAAAGTTTTGATCAGTGATCACGTGAACGTTTATCATTTTTGACGGGGTATTAGCTATCACTTCACTTAACACAACAGTTGTCTTATGGGGAAAGTCTTGCGGCACCCGATGAGCCGGCAGTGTTGTGTATAATTGCAGTATAGGCATTGTGGTGATTATTATCAAGTTTAATTAGTAAGCTACTGCATAACAGTTAAAAATCAGTATTAAAAATTTTAATGCAGCTGCAAGTTAAAATGCCCAGTTATTGATAATCATTTTGCGTTACATTACTTATTTACCATTACATAACTAATTTTCAAATTCATTATGATATTCAAATTTATTTTACTTTATCATGTTTTTTTAATATGAAACTAATTGTTATTTAGTAACGGTAAAATAATTTTAATAGTTAATAAATGTTAACTTGGTTGGTATTACATTAATAGTTTTTACATCGAACAAATGATAATAATTTTTTAATTTTTACAATTTGTCAAAATATTAAGTTCATTAAATTTTTATATTCAAAAATGTCATTAAAGTATTTTAATTGTTATTATTACCTAAATATTTAGTTAATTTAGTGATTAATAAACAGAGTTAATTTGTTTAGAACTTACATAACAAACCTATTAACTAGACATCCAACCAAAAGAGAATAATAATAATTTCTTCTTACTAATTGTCCTTAGTAGATTTCAAATTTTTTGTTTTTAGAGACAGATCTAAAAAACATATTAGAACAGTAATAAAATAACAAATACAGCCCGAATTTTATATCGCAATATAAAGCTAAAGGCAGGAGGATTAGTAGTGGATTAGTGCAGCATAAAACAATGCAATTTTTTTCGCACCTAGTTTACAAAAAGGGTTGCATTTGCCATCAATGCGCGAAGAAGTGCACTGCTCTATGCTGTGATAATTAACACTACTAATCCTCCTGCCTTTAGATTTATATTGCGATATAATACTCTGAGTGTATATTAAATGAGCTATTAAGCATATAATACAGTTTAATTGTCTAAAAACAACATTGCTTACAATAACTAAACATTACATTTTATTACTTATTTTGCGTCAATAATATAATAATATAAATATGATAAATTTAAAATACAAATACATCAATATAGTTTGTACGGTTGACAACATAGCTGATAATATTTCTTGATCCACACTAGTCAGTTTCACAAACAAAAGTTTTCATTTAAGTGCTTAACTATATATTATTTATTATATTTATAGTTCGTAGTATTCTGTATATAAAGTAATTAAACAAATTGCTACTTTGTGCAAAATTTAAGACATTATAACAGTATATCATAACTAATATTCTAACATGCCATTATACAGTATTGTTATAAAACTATAGTATTATTTAGTATTAGCAATGTTTTAATGACCATTACAAATATTATATAAAACATTTATATTTAGCAATTATTGGTGATGTTAACCTGCAGCAATTTTTAATAAACAAAATAATTAATTTATAATTAATATGTATTAATAATGTAATTATGTAATTAATTAATGTGAATATTGTGAAATATAGTTTTAACATTATATGTTGTGTAATAATATAAAACAACTAACTCTCACGGTCATGGTGATAATAAATATAACAATTACGAATTAATGATGAATATTGATTAAATCTTCTGTCAGTATACTGTAATAAAAGAAACTAAAACTATATATTTCACATTTAATTTATTTAAAATACAAACATGGTGATTAACTTTAATAAACCCATACCACAGGAATTGCGGGTCAGGGGTGCGGACAGTCATCTCTACCGAATTGGTCTATCATTATATAACTCAAACTATACGCCAATTAACAGATATTTTTTATTCAACCCAATTGTAATATTTATTGTGTTGATTACATTGTTTATTAAAAATTCAATACCGATATACGTCTACATTAGTGACTTAAAGATACCCAGGGTGTATCATTTAATAATGGGTAACCTGGATTATTTTACCGGAACGGGATACGTAGATAATTTGATTATGGTTTTAATGACAATGTTTTGTATGTCATCGCAACTAATAAATTACATAAACCATAGAAATGGCGTAAAACCCGTGGATTTGCGTGTATTTCAAATGATCGCCGGTTTTATTACACCTCAAAGTTGCGGTATTAATGATCAGGATTTAATAATTAAGCTATGTCGTCTCAGCCAACAATTATTAACCATGGCAACATATCTCGTAACATTCCTACCAATACTTGCATTTAGTTATACCACAACTTTATTTTATATAAACAATAATCTAATCCACTTTTGGTCAATTGGTTTACCAGGCTCAATGTTTTACTTTGTATGGGTTTATTATGCCATGAATATTATTATTTATCAAACAGTGTATTACATAATAATTGCATATTATCTCAAATCCAAGATTAAAGCGATTAATATTGGGATTAAAATTAATGTTTTAATAAAGAAAAATTATTTAATAGGAAACGCTATGAATAAACTAAATAATATTTACGTTGAAATATCGGCTAGTAACAATTATTATTGGTCAAAATATTTGTTATGTGTATGGTTAACAACGAGCATAATTATTAGTTTATTATTGTATTATAGTATTTATTCCAATGTTGGTTTTATATTTAAGTTAATGTCCATGCTCATTTGTGTGTTTTACGCGATTAGTCTTATGTTTATAATCCATATTTCGTCCGCTCTTTATATCGAAGCGAATTTGACTTATGTTTTGTTGAATTCAGTTATTTTTCACACAAACAAAATACCACTCGCTTTGAAATTCAAGGTATTTTTAATCAATACTCCCAGCGATAGAATCTGGCAAAAGAAAAATATAAAAATTACAAACAAGATTTACATAAATAATTAGTACAGTATAACAATTNTCTCTCTCTCTCTCTCTTGTATAAAATAATTATTTATTTTAATTAATAGTTAGCAAATCTAATGGAAAGAATTAGTGGCAATAAGATTGGCTTTTATTGTTGGAAACTATTTATTATAAACAGATTCAGAGGCTATGAAGTAATTGTTATACTGTACTAATTATTTATGTAAATCTTGTTTGTAATTTTTATATTTTTCTTTTGCCAGATTCTATCGCTGGGAGTATTTTTATTTTTGCGTATAATTTAAAAATATTTTTTATTATTACTTTGCAATAAGGTTTTGATAACAATTGACAAAATGATACTTAAATAACCATACTAACTTGTAAGATCATAAATTGAGAACATTTTGGATTTAAAGCATAATATGCATAATTAAATATGATTTAAATGTACTCATCAATACTTATTAAATAAAATTTAATAATTCTATTAGAAATAATTAATTAAAGGTAATAATTGGGAAAATGAAAAAAAATTGTACATGAAACATTTTATCCTTGTCCTTGTAATAGCTGCTATTAAATAGCACATAAAATTGATATAAGAGAAGTTCATTAATTATTAATTAAATAAGAAACATTAATGAACATAATATGTTCTTACAAGACATATTATGTACTTTCTAAAAATGTATTTTTAATTGCCAAAAGTTTACAATGAGTATAAAACTTTCGTGACAATAATCAATTAAAAAAAACTTACAAAATAATTATTTGGTGTTACATATAATTTACATTTTATGTTATTTTCAGTATCATGTTAGATCTTTATAAATATTACATTACCAACAATTTCAAGAATCATTAAACACATTATTATTATGTAAATTATATTAACTTTGTATTGTTTACATAATATAAAACATTGATAAAATATTGCTATTTAATTCATTTCACAAAATAGCTAATCAAGTATACCATAATGGATTTAACAAGCTATAACTTTGTTGCCAAACATAAATTACCGCCAGAGCTAACCATTACCGCTGCGGACAGTCATCTCTATCGCATCGGACTCTCATTATTCAAACCCCTGTCACCCGTCCGGAGGCGCGCATACAATCACCCGTACTTTATGTTCATATATTTAGCGCATATGCTATTCAAATGTGTATTGTTTATTGTAAACCCCGCTCACAATATGCCCGACGAGTATCACCTCTATTGGGGTAATATTGACCGGTTTATGGGTACCGGTATAATCGTAAACAGTGTATGCGGACTAGCTAGTTTACTATGTATAACTGTGCATGGTTTAAATTTTTACAACTATTGGAAAGGCCGCGAACCACGCGATCGGTGTGTGTTTGAAATGATGGCCGGTTTCCGGACACCCAATAGTCTGGGCGTTAATGACAAACAATTAGTGCGGCGTTTGCTATGGCTTTGCCGTAAATCACTGACAATCACACGCCTATCGATACCGTTGTTTATGGTATTCACGTTCGGTATTGTATTCGGCAGTTATGCCACTAAATCAACGGCACGTA